TAGATAGATAGATAGATAGATAGATAGATAGATAGATAGATAGATAGATAGATAGATAGATAGATAGATAGATAGATAGATAGATAGATAGATAGATAGATAGATAGATAGATAGATAGATAGACGGGATGGACAGTCTGCTCCAAGCACCAGTCATCCTGGGATCACAACATTGAAAGAAACTACACTGGCCTCTGCCATTGGTCAGGGGAACCCAGGGCCACAGAGAGGCTTTGACATCTTGCTTCCCAGGAAAAGCACTCCAGCAGCAGCAAAATGATTCTCAGTTCACCCACAACCATAGCAGAAATGGACTGGTTTTACTCTGGTACTTCATCACCTATAGATTGGCACACTTAGGCTTAACCTCATTTTGCACCACTCTGCCTACCTTCCTGCCCTCTCTGTCTCTCTATATCTCTCTCCTAGTTATGTAATCAGTGGTAGCCAGCTGTTTAGTATTAAATTAAGATAATAAGTAGCGGTTTTCATTATGACAGTTCTCATGGTCACAATGGCCCACAAGGGAAACAGGCACAAGTTGCTGGAATGCCCACAATGAAGGAACAGGCCTTTTAGAAAGACAACAGCATTCAAATGGCTGTTTAAGACCAAACCGGCTTCAAATACTTCACATTACAACACAGATAGCTTACACCAATATACTGTTCCTGGTGAAACTCATTTCTCTCCCAGCTATTGCAAAGGATTGCAGTTAAGTTCAATGGTAACAGAGAAGCCTTATGGGGTACGTAGATGATGCCACAATCCCTGATTTTCAAAAAGTCTCGAAGCATTGATCCTGTGAGTCCAGGCCCCACTATATCACTGTCCCTCAAATATGGTGCCTCAATTTACAACCATCTTGACTTGCAACCAATTTGAGTTACAACTGCCTCCGGTCACAGCATTTTGCTTTGACTTACAACCGGCGGCTTTGAGATACAACTGGAAAAAAATACCTCTTTTCTGCATTGTTCCCTCCCTCCCGCCTGCCTTTCCTGCCCTTTTTTAACCTTAGAGGTCCTTTTAGGTTAAAAAAAGAGTCTCTCTCTAGTGGACGGATTAACCACTTTTGCATTAGTTCCTATGGGAACTAATGCTTTGAGAGACCACCAGCACCTTAAGATACGACCAAAAAATGGCCAGAATAGATTAATCGTGCTTCAGTGTATTCCTATGGGAAATGGTGCTTTGAGTTATGATCGAGTTACAACCATCATTCCGGAATGAATTAAGCTTGCAGCTCAAGGCACCACTAATTCAGTCTGACAAAATTTTCACCTCATGAAAAAAAAGTATTTTGCTTACTGTTCTAAATACCAGGTTCCTAGAAAAGCTGGCTAGATAGCTCTGTGCTTTAGGTTGAGAGTCTGATTCCCTCCTGTGCCTCCTGTGTGGCCTTGCGCAAGCTGCGCAGTCCCAGTGTGTCCCCAGAACCCCAGAAGAAGGGAATGGAAAACCACCTCCAGAATATTCTCTACCTGAAAAACCCTGAAAAGGGTCACTGTGAGTCCCATTGGTCAGGGGAACCCAGGGCCACAGAGAGGCTTTGACATCTTGCTTCCCAGGAAAAGCACTCCAGCAGCAGCAAAATGATTCTCAGTTCACCCACAACCATAGCAGAAATGGACTGGTTTTACTCTGGTACTTCATCACCTATAGATTGGCACACTTAGGCTTAACCTCATTTTGCACCACTCTGCCTACCTTCCTGCCCTCTCTGTCTCTCTATATCTCTCTCCTAGTTATGTAATCAGTGGTAGCCAGCTGTTTAGTATTAAATTAAGATAATAAGTAGCGGTTTTCATTATGACAGTTCTCATGGTCACAATGGCCCACAAGGGAAACAGGCACAAGTTGCTGGAATGCCCACAATGAAGGAACAGGCCTTTTAGAAAGACAACAGCATTCAAATGGCTGTTTAAGACCAAACCGGCTTCAAATACTTCACATTACAACACAGATAGCTTACACCAGTATACTGTTTCTGGTGAAACTCATTTCTCTCCCAGCTATTGCAAAGGATTGCAGTTAAGTTCAATGGTAACAGAGAAGCCTTATGGGGTACGTAGATGATGCCACAATCCCTGATTTTCAAAAAGTCTCGAAGCATTGATCCTGTGAGTCCAGGCCCCACTATATCACTGTCCCTCAAATATGGTGCCTCAATTTACAACCATCTTGACTTGCAACCAATTTGAGTTACAACTGCCTCCGGTCACAGCATTTTGCTTTGACTTACAACCGGCGGCTTTGAGATACAACTGGAAAAAAATACCTCTTTTCTGCATTGTTCCCTCCCTCCCGCCTG